TGTATCCCCCCCTTGCGCGGTCTTTTTTACCATTCCACTAATCCCTTCCCACATCTGCTTGACGTTCCCCTCCAGGCCTCCGTTGGCCTTCTGCACTACTTCGTCCCAAATACACTTTTTGTTCTTTTTCACTAGTCCCTTAACCTGTTTTCTCTTGGCCCTGTACTTTTCCCAACTCTCCTTAGACGCCTCACTCAGGTACTGCTTGAAGACTTCTCTACGTTCCCCTATTTCTTCTTTCAGCTCGTCATCCCACCACTTAACCGATACCCCACATCGTATCATCTTCTTTCCCACTACTCTCTGCCGTTGCGTTCACGATGGACTCCCACCCTTCAATCACCCTGTCCCCTGCTGCTCCTACGTCTACCTGTTCGTCTTCGACGCTACCAGCCAGTCCCTTCTGGAATTCATCCCGTGTCCCCTCGTCTCCCAAACGCTCTACTTTCCACCGAAACACTTTCCTCTGTTTCTTTCTCTCCATCTTTCTAGATCGGTCGATGTTTGCCCATATGAGGAAGTGGTCGGTCGAACCTATATCTATCGCACTTACGTGCAGCTCTGGGATCTGCGTGCTCCCCCTATCTACCAGGATGTAGTCGAGGATTGAGTTTTCATTGGGGGTAGGGTCTTGGATTTATTTTATAACCGTACCTGAGGCCAGCTTTGTCATGTCCAATTGGTTTGGGGGGCAGGCTGGAAGTGAATGGGGGCGAAGTCTGATTTGTTCACGGCAGGGATAGTCGTAGGCCCCACGACACCTCTCGATGCTTGGAAACGATTTTGTGTGTACCCATGATTTACGATAATCACACTATCCTATCATTACCGCCCTTTGAGCTACCCTGAATTACAATTTGGAGCGCATTCCGAAACAGGAACTTGCCACTAATGAAGGAGGTTGTTCAGGTATGCGCGTGTGGCAAACCAGAGCAAAGGGGAGAGGGAGCACGAGTTGAACACAGATGAATAACGTAAGCATTGCATTCTATGGGCGAAAGGCGAGGCCCCAGTGGAGGAGAGAAGAAACACATGTCGTGACATGGCCGAGCTCAGCACACTAATAGAAAATGGCGAGATAGCAATCGCTAGAATTGGTTGGTGGGAATAAGATGAAGAGGGTTGTGGAGCAAAATCGAATAGAGCATCCACATGTCGGTGGTGCCTCCGAGTGGTAGAAACGGCGCCCCATCTCGAAAGTGGCATGATGCAACAAAGGAGTACCCCCTCCGGGCGAAACAAACAGTAGTTGCGACGGCGCTCCCTCGCCCGTCCAGCCGGGCGTGGGCAGAATTTGTGCAGAATACGATGGCTTTGTCGGCTCCGGAACATCCAAGTGGACTTGTGATTAGTAACTGCTTTTTTTTTGGTTGAGTCGAAACTCATGTCCTTTCCAGCTTCTCTGGCGGTTGTTCGGAGGGCCTCCAGTGGTTGGCGGTGATGGAGGAAATACTGTTGCTCGTTACGCACTTGACCTAGGTTGTATTCCTGTATTGTCCTTCCTATCCCCCCTTTTTCCCGTGCTCGTAAGAGGGGAGAGCGGCACGTGCCTGATCGACCCGGTCATCGAAGGGCCAAGCGGGGTTACTTTCGCTTCAGGAACAGCATCTATTCGCTACTTCGTTTCAACATACGACGTGCTGGCCCAGACGAACGGCGAGAAAGGGGGAAGAACGGGCATGCAAAGATACATTGGTGAAATGTATTTTCCAGTGGTGAAAGGCGATGGACCTCACGATCGTTGGGAAGCGGACGGTAACTTTGCGGTGCGAAGGCCAACCACCTTACTGTCCAAAACAAATGTGTTTTAATGTGCAGCGATTTGGCCTTGTGTGTACACCATTTCTGCTCATCAACGATGTCGCGTGTCGCATTGCACTGCCCACAGTTCGGTTGGTCTGAAGCATTGCAGTGTCTGCGTGATAGTCTACAGGCAGCGTATTCTAAAAAGAGCCTTGCTTTATTGTTGAATAGTCGAATTGATATGGAGCGTTCGCCATGGCATCCGTCAACATTCCTGTGACTGTGAGGTACCTCGAGGATGACTACAACATGTTGTCGCCTGCGTTCAGGTGATTTGGAAAGGCGAAGAGCTCTGGCTGGAAACTGAGCTCCGGCACTTCAGCAGCCTCGGCGTGGCCTTCAAAAGAGCGTGGAGACATTTGTTCGGACGTGAGGACGACGCGCTTCCAAGTGGTCCAGTCTCTCTTACCCCCCTTTGTACGCCGTTTGGCAGTACTCCTATTCCAAAGGCCTACATAAAGGTCTCCAACTACTCGGACGTGAGCAATAGAAGAGTGTTCGATGTTGCAGCTGGCACTGCGCGACTATCATGTTGGTTGATTTCTGGCGGGATAGTCGGATCTTATCGTTGTACGACACCTTCTCCCATCCGTGCAGTATGGCCGCCAGCACGTTCTCCCATGTTGCTTATTGGCCCCGTTGCCTGTTCGTCGGTGCTCGTACAGGTGTGCGGCCGTGCTGTTCTTGCCGCAGAAATGACCACAACAAGTGACGCGACTACGGGCAAGATTGCTGGGAACGTAGGTGTAGGAGCGGTCGGAGTCGACTCCTCATTGGGTGCCGAGGTGGAGAACAGCAGGAGCAGGACATTTCAGGCAAGAGGTGACATCCGTTTTGCAGGCTACATTGTGTCGTTTCCCGCCGCTTCTAGTCCTCCATCGAACTTACACGCTTTTCGGATTCCGTTAACTCTCGTGTTTACCGCCCCGCACTCGCAGCCGACGTCCGTCTTCGGAACACCCTCTGCCAGCCAAGTCTTGCCTAAGACAAGTGGTTATCATCGGCTGCCGGGGGATTCCCAGGTACACATGGTGTAATTCGCTGTTTTTGCTGCGGTTAGTTGGCTGAAATGTACGGACTTCGTGCATGCGGTTGTTTCCTGTGGTGAGCCAACCACCAATGTCATTAACGTTTGAGTGAAGGAAGATTGCCTCGTCCTTTCTTCGCAATTATTTATGCCATGCCGACTTAAGCGTGTTGTTGGTTTGCCGTCATCGAAAGCCGCACGAGATCGGGCGAGCGCGAACGTGTTTCCATTTTAGATAGTGGATAGGTCCCTGCCTGGGGGCTATGTTTCAGTCCTCGACACTTGCCGTCTACCTCCATGCTACGAATCACTAGAGATGGTTCTGTCAAAAGTGGTCATTTCTGAACGGGTTCGTCCGCGTGCATGCAGTCTGCTCGCTTCCTGTGGTGCACCGTCTCGAAGGCATTCACCCCAGAGGAGCTACCGATGGACGACATCGGGCCGGAACCCGTGTCGGCAAAAGTGCTTGCAAGGCATGGATACTCGATGGTCGGCGGACGACATGCCTTCCCCGCCTACTTCCAGAAGAAGGCGGAGGGGACGAGACACGAGACCTTGTTTGTCGTTCGAGTGTGGGACAATGCACCGATTGCTGCGGGTGATGCGAAGACTATATCCCAGGAGTTGTTTTCGCAGGGGTGCCTATGGGATTCTTCCGTCCCCAGCAAAGATGACGTTGAAAGGAGACTTCACGCGTACTTGAATAGACACTACCACGCACAGTTTGCCTAGTTGCAGGGACGCTGGCGGTGTGATTGCTGGTCGTAGAAAACCAGAAAATCCGTGGGGGCAATTGCGACGAACGTATCGCGATATCACGGTTGCCTAACTTTAAGAGCACATCTGTTGCGCTTCGGTGAAGCTGGGGCGACGTAGGCAGAGGAGGAAAAAGCGGGCAACATGTTTATACTCGCACTCGAACAGTGCGGGTGGGTAGTGGATATGCTTCGATATGCAATTGTGTACATATTCGGCGAAGATTGCAACGCTTTTGGGGCAAGGTTCGCGTTGGTGGGAGACTCGGCGCCGACGTAATGCTGAAGAATGAAGCTCACTTCGTGTGGTTTATTGTAGAACCTTTCGGCGGCGAACAAATTAAGTTTACTGACACATTTTTTTCTGTGAGCTAGCCTGTTTCCACGGAAATCGCCCGCGTGACCAGTTGGGCAAGTGCGGACATCGGATGGTATTTGATTTGAACAGAGAGATGCGACGGAACGCTGCCAAAACCATTTGAAACCCCATGTTTTTTTTTCGGCCCAGAAGAAGAGCTCCCCGATATCTTCGTCGGACGAGCTACTGATGCGTAGGGCACTTGGAAGTGTACATCGTACCCCTGACGGCCTTGTGTTGCACTCGCTGTCGTGTCTCGAGTGCACAACAGCAACAACCATCTCTGGTGCCATCTGGACAACACTTTCCGGGCATGGTTATGAGTGCACCTAATCTCAGTTTCTTACAAGCTCAGTGGGGTAACCCAACAGCGAGTAGGATTCTTAACTGAGCACTGCTTCATACGGTCGAAAATGGTTTACTTTCTTTTTATTTTAGCCTGACTTTCTTAGCGTAGGCGGCTTGCGTTAGCTCTCGTTTCTTCTGACTGAAGTTTGGTGTTCTGAGGTTGACGGCTCGACCTCCCGTGTGTTTTGGGGGTACATTATTGGAAGTTCATATGGGACGTCCAATGGCCAGTCATTGGCCGGCCCACGTGGTCCATGGGATACACGGGCTGCCCAATGGCTGGCCATTGGACGTCCCATTAGGACTTCCAATAGTGGTATGTTGTTGCCTGCGAAGAATTGTTCTTTTTAAGTATGTTGCCATGACGTAGATTTCGTGGCTCTTGTTTCTCGTAAAGGATTCGCGCTCTTGGGTGTTTGGCGTCCGGCCCATGGTGTTAGCAGCTCTACTGCCCCGTGGTTCTGACGCCCCTTGAACTCGGCTCGCCCCAGCGAAGCGTAAGTTTTTTTTTTTTATGTGATGGACTGAAGAAGCTAACGTTCGGGTTTTTCTTGAACAGTATCGCCCCGGACATATCCAAAGATCACCCAACAAGGAAAATTAGGGAACGGAACGAGCCTCGGCAAGAATACGAGGTTTCTAAGTGATAGAGCGTGTTTGTGTTAATTCCGGATTGTTGCTTCCGTTGTTCTTGCGCCTTAGTCTGCCATTCAGCGACATATGTAGTACGTTCACTAGGCTTGATTACGTGAATGTGCTGTTTTGGACCCCACTGCCTGTGGCTCTTGTGATCGTCTCCTCGTGAGGAAGATTTGGAGTGCAAATTAATTTCTGTTAGCAGCACTACCTCTGCGTAATATGTCGCAGCCCCCTCCCTACGTGTAGCCTCCAGGTGTTTCGACCAATCAGCGAACTGCGTGCCACAAAATCATCACGCACAGTTTCCTGCGGAATAGAATCACGAGCAGAAGAACCTAACTAACCCCCTTGTTTGCATCACTCGGTCAGGCAACTTGCCGATGAGCCATTCGATGAAGCTTGGAGCAGGTTCCCGTGTTCTGATCTGGTTCATGTGGTTGTAGTGGCTACTATAGGCGTTATCAGTCCACATGCAACAGCCATGCTGCTGTGAGGTCGGCAGGTATCATCCATTGGACTATAGTCGGGCAGAGGTAGTCTAGGCCTTTCCCCGTTATGCTTTCTTTTTCGAAACATTATCTACATATGCTCCTTATGTTAGGAATAAACTTTTTTGGGGGCAATTATGCTCGAACAACTGCCCATAACTGCCATTAATGCTCGTTTCTCGGCAATTATGCTCACTTCTGTCAAATATGCTCGACTTCAAATTTCAATGTGCATTTGTTTTGCTTTTTGACGCTCGAGCATTATAAATATGCTCGACTTCAAATTCAATGTGCTTTTGTCTGCTTTTTGACGCTCGAGCGTAATGGGGGAAAGGTCCACATGCAGAGCCCCGGGATCGTGTTGGCGTCGTCAACGGGATGGTATTTGCTGCCTGTATGCACCGCGTTTACGTAGCTTTATTTGGGGGGGGGGGTGTA